TCCTGCCAGATGAGAAACTATAACATATTTATAGCTTTTCATCTGGCAGGTGATACAAGTTTATGACCTGAAGCTCATGTCTCCACTCCCATCCCTATCCACAAACTTTAGCCCAAGAGAAATATGTCCTTGCTGCATGACTGACAATACAGACAATTCTGAGGTTTAAAGATGTGTTTCAGATATTTGTATCTCACAAGGGTAGCTAGCAATACAGTTGTGAAAAAAAGCCTGCCAATTCTTTGCTTCCTGTTAAATATATAGCTTTCTGATTATCCTTGATGGATTTTGGTGTACTTTGCAGGGAGTGACATTGATTTGGAAGATATATGAGAAAACTGTATCCAAAACGTTCATTGTGGCTACTTGAGACATTCGTGATGACCTGATTCTAGAACAGGTTATGTATGTTGCACTTTTGGGATATTGTCATAGCACTGTCCCATGATAAGGAATAAGTTATGTCACAGTGGAATTGGAAAACTAGTGTTCCTCGGCAAAGTCATAGAGTTACTGGCGCCTCACGGTCATAAAGCTCATCTTATGATGCAAAGTACACTGAAGCAGACGATTTCATGTACCTCTGATTCACAACACCGCACATCTTAGATGATCTTGGGTTGGAGCCAAGGTATCGTGCGTCTGCATGATGTACATGGCTTTTCCTGCAGAAGTTGCAGTTTATGTCACAAAGTGCTTTTTTCAGCAGCGAGGCGCCAGTAATGCTATCTCTTTCTGCTTTTCTAAGAAGCGTTTTTACAACCCTGGCTTTTCAAGCATGGGTGGTGTGTTTTGTTTTTGGTAAGACATTTGAGGGAATGTGTCTGTTCTCCAGTCTGGGCTTGTGAAACCAGTAAGCATATTTTTACTGTCTCCACCTTGTGAAGGCAAGCCACAGCACTTTTCCTCGGGATGGTTTCAGTTAGTCTGATTTCTGATCTGTGTGCATCTCTTTTGTATTACTGGAGAGGCCCCTTTTTCAAGCTGCTGCACTTTTCAATGCACACTTGGGGGCTAGAAACCACTTAGCACACCAACCCTGTTTAGCAAAGGACTCTGCTTAAGCAATTTAAAAATAAAACAATAAAGAGGATAAAACTGTGTCAGAATTTTTTTTATTTGTATGGCGCCATTTAGACATGGGGCAGCCTGGCTCAGTGGTAGCGCTCTCGTCCCTGAGTCAGAAGGTTGTGGGTTCAAGCCCCATGTCAGGACTTGATATCACATAGTCTAAGCTAATACTCCAATGCAGTGCTGGGGGATGTTGTATTGTCGGAGGTGCCGACATTCATATGAGATATTAAACCGAGGTCCCATCTGTCTGTTCAGGTGATGGTTAAAGATCCCATGGCACTATTCGAAAAGAGAAGGGAGTTTCTTCTGGTATCTTGGCCAACAATTCCCCAAATAAAATTGGTCACTCACTCTGTGGCTGTTTGTGGGATATTGCTGTGCTCAATTGGTGCCACAAATTACACAGTCAATCCACTTTACAGTATATCCTGTGACGTGCTTTAAGGAGTCTCAACGATAAGGTGCTATATGAAACGCAAGGATTATTATAATTAAGTTAAAACAAAGTGATCCCTTCACTTGAAACAAATTGTTGATTAAGTTACGTATAAATAGACAAATGAAATGATTTGTTAGGTTCTTAAAATAAATACAGACATGGTGTCTCACCATAAGCTACACCGAATCATGATTAAAATCCTTTAGATTGCACATTCCAGCTATTTTATTGGACATTTGTAATTAAACATTCAGGCCTTTGAAGAACTGGAAAAATCAGGTAGATAAAAGATGAATTGGGAACCTGATGAAACAGATAGTTTCCTTGCCAAGTCCCCCTGTCATTGCATTTGTCTAGAAAAACAGGCACCTGACAGTAATTACTCAAGAGACACATTGCGAAGTTTTAACATGATACGGCACTATTAAAATTCATTAATTCAATAATTCAATTTGTCAGTTCTTCTGGTATGTGTGGCATGAAAGTCCATCTAGTCTTAGCCTGCAAGATTACTTTGTCTTAAAATTTAAAAACGGAACATTCGAACATTCATCAATTCAATCTTAATTTGTAAGGAGGGAGTCCTTAATTCTTAACAAGAAACAGCTTCCAAATTAAGAATGTTTTTTTAAAAAGAATTTTTTTTTCTGTTGATCTGGGCAACATTATGTCTAAGGAAAAATGGTCAAAGACCAGATGGAATTTCAGGCCTGTGAGGCGGCATTTATTTCTGAGACTATTTCCACCCATATTTGGAAGAAGGCAACTGCCTTGGAAGCTTGTATCCATTTTGTCAAATAATCCTCTATGCCACTTTTTTTCGACTGCCTTCTCAATGAAAAAGTGTACGGCTGAATCTGTAATCGTTGCTTTCCCGCGTCTCTCAATTTATATTCCTCTGTATTTCTATTGAATTTTGATATTGAAATAATTTCTTCCAAATATTTATTGGCTTGTACTTCGACTATATTTGCAGATCTGATGCACTCTGCCATGGTGCCCCCCAAAACAAAGTACATTGCAATGGTACAGCAACGATGTAAAGTTGCAAATTAGCGCAAAATGTCACGCTCACCCTAGCCATTAATTTGTTTTACAACACACATTGGCATTAATATCTATTGAAGTACTAAACTCACATAAGTGTCAAATGGAGAGACTATGAGCAAAGGTAGTTCTTAACACATCAAATACAACCAACCAAGAGCTTGATGAGAACCAGTTCATCCTCCACAACCACCATCAGTTTTTTTGTGAAAGGCAAGAAAATGTTCTCAAGTTACTGAGGTGATATATCAGTGTTCCAGTGTAGATTCTGTAGATACACAATCTGATCCATAGACCCAGCATGCCCAGTATCTGTGTTCTCGAAAGCAATACAAAGATTGGCAAGAGGAAATGTCTTGTCAAGAATGATAAACATTAAAAAAAATGCTATTGAGGTGACGCATCAATGCTGAGATCCTCTTTCTATATTGAACCAATCGCCAACATTTTCAGGAGCAGTAAAATGCTGAGCTTCTACAATCCCCTAGCATTGCTTTGAAGCTTGAAACGACAGAGCTCTGCATCACTACCTGCTCTTATACTGAACTAGTATGACTGCAAGGCCACCTCTTCTGCATAGTTTTGTTTCTGGTGTATTTTTCTGATCAAAGATGTGCAATACTTATTGGTAAGGGCACCAATTCTCTAACTACTGTACAAAAGCACTTAGATAACGTGCATAACTCTTAAGACAAGATTTGAAAAAGTAATCAAGTACCTGATACATTAAGATACATTTCAACATTCAGCTAAAGTAGAGTGAAACATTGTACTTGTTTCTTACATATGTTTGAAAATATTCACATTGATTCACAGAGTGGACTGTGCCCATTCCCAATAATCTATAACAAAGGAAAGAATCTTATTGGGGGTATTTTAATTGTTTTATGCACAATTTAATGCACCATTCCATAGTCAAGAGGATAATCAAATAACTTGCTCTTAGATCTCCTGTAATAATTCACTGTAACTAGTCACTAGATATGCACAAGAGCAACCCCCTCTCTACTCATTCTTCTCTCTTGGTGGGGAAGCACGTAGCTTTGCCTCAATAGTTCCTTCTATTAGGGATAAGGAACCAGCTTCTTGGCGACTCATGGACATAAACTTGATTCTTACCACACTACACAATGCATTGATGTAGTGCTGTGCTACATTATCTTGCTGTCTACTGGTGAAGAAGGCAAATGTCTGTTCGGCAAATGGCTTCTCCTCCTGCCCCTGCCCGGTCACCCGCGGGGTAACCCAGAGCTCCATCCTTGGCCCTCTTCGTTTCCTTATCTAAATGCTCCCTCTGGGCGATGTCACCCACAGTCACTGGGTAAGCTTCCACATGTATGCGGATGACATACAAATCGACTTTGCCTCCTCCAGTACCAACTCCAGGTCTGCCGATGGTTTATCAGCTTGTCTGGCAGACATCCAAGGACTGGATGAGTGTAAACTTCCTGCAGCTGAACGTGGACAAGACGGAAACCATACTCCTTGGCTTCCGTCAATGTCTTCACTCCTGTGGATCTAAACTCCTCAACCTCCCTCAGTCTCTCCCTCAGACTCACCGAACCAGTGCGCAATCTAGGTGTCCGGTTCGTGCCCCAGCTGTCCTTCCTCCCCCAAATTTAGTCCCTGACCAGGACCACCTTCTTCCACCTTTGCCACATTGCCCGCCTCCAACTGTACTTTACGCAGGTAAGGTATCAATTGTAGCCGAAACCCTTGTGCGTGTGTCACCTCCTGCTTGGATTACTCAAACGCACTCCTCACCGGACTTCCCAGCTTCACTATTCAAACGATCCAGATCATTCAAAACTCTGCTGCCCGCATACTGACCCGGACCAAACTCCATACCCATTTCGCACCAGTTCTGGCCAGGCTTCACTGGCTCCCCATCACCAAACGGATCGATTTCACGATCCTCACATTCGTGTTCAAATCCCTTCACTCTCTGGTACCTCCCTACCTCTCTGACCTACTCACTTCCCAGTTCACCATCCAGCGCCTCCGCTCGGCTGGCACTGGCCTCCTGCTCGTCCCTCGCATCTTCCGCCCCACCATTGGAGGTTGTGCTTTCAGCCACTATGCTCAGAAACTGTGGAACACTCTCCCTCTATCTCTGGAGGTGGGGGTGGGTACAATGCCCAGCAAGACATGCATAAGAAGACATTGTATGTCCAAAAAATAAAGTTGTTACGATAACACATCCGAATAGAACAAATGGCAGTTCTGTTCATGCCCATTTTTGACCTCAGTGTGTGAAGCAAGACACATTTGGGAAATGCTAATAAATCCTTATTTAACTGACTGGTTACTGTATATAGAATCACATCTAGGCAGTGTCAAGAAGTCCTAGATGTTTGCTGGTGAGTCACATTATTCATTTCAAAACTTTATAAGAATTACTCATCATGGAGAACATCAATTTGGTAGAGAGAAGGCCAACCTTTATTCCGCTCTGGACATGCTTGTGGATGTTGAGGAATGGCTCCTTCAATAGTTCTCCATCGGGAGTGAAAATCTTCACAAAACCTTCCTTTTCCAAGATGAAGAGTCTCTGTGATTCATCTCCACAATGCACTACTCCAGTCGGCTCCCTGAGTCCACCAACCACTTTGTGAAGGCAGTAACAATTCTTTTTGTGTTTTCTAAAATAAACAACAAAACATTTGTTACTTCTGATGGCAATTTGATCTTCCACTCCTAGAAAACAATGTACTTATCTTTTTTTCAAAAGAAACACTCTGAATGATGTAGCAGAGTATGCAGATAAATCTCCAAAAATCCATAATTCAACAATATGCTGTCAAACTCTTGATTTTCATTAAAGTGACAAGCAGCTCAGTGACTGGATAAATTACAATATTCCCCTTTTAATGCAACAAGAATATAGAACAACAAGACATGGGTTTAGAATTGCAAAGGGCAATTTAAGGACAGACACCAGGATACAATTCTTTACCCAGTTGTTACTTAATGACTGGAACTGGTCACTAGGAAAGGTGGTTGAGGCGAGGACACTTTATTCATTTAACCAACAGCTTGATGCTGAGTTCGGAAGACACCAGGATGCATGCTGGTGAGGAGATGTTAGGATGATGAGATGGTATGATGAGTATTCTGGAAGGATGAGCCTTGCCCCCTCCTACCTCGGTGACCTGCTGACTCCCTACCATCCCGCCCACTCCCTCCTTTCAGCGGGCTCCGGCCTGTTCCATGTTATCCGCCCGACCCGCCCTACCATCGGTGGCCGGGCTTTCAGCCTCTCTGGCCCCACACTCTGGAACTCCATCCCACAGTCCCTTCGCCTCGCTTCCTCCCTTGCCTCCTTCAAGGCTGGTCTCAAGACCCTCCTCTTCGATCGTGCCTTAAGTCGCCCTCCCACCTCTCTGCCTTCCCTCACCCCTACCCCACCCCTCCCCCATGCTCGGGTCCTGACCCCTGATTGTCCAGTGCCTTGGGATGTCCTCCTTCTATGAAAGGCACTCTATAAATGTAATTTTGTTGTTGTTGAAGCACAATGTATTGATGCAGAACAGCAGAACTGTACCTCAGACTGAGGATCTCTCCAGAGCCAAGCTTTGGTGAGTCAGACAAGTATAAATGGGATTCCCTGAAAGAATCAGACTTGATGGCCTGAGGCCCTTCATCTGGAATTGAGGCATCACATACGCTTCCATTTTTCCAAGGAGCACGCTTTCAACCTCAATGTAATAACATGGACTGTAACCAATGTGCGTGTCTGGACAGTGTGTATATCTGATCAGTGTTCATGTCTGGACAGAGTTCATCACTGGCTATTTACATAAATCCAACTCTCACCTACAATATACACAGTGACTGCAATTTACAGAACAAAGCGTGACAAATCGATGACCAGATAACGCACTATATCAAATGTAAGGATTATCATTGTTATGATTGCTGTGTACCATATAAATATTGTGTGCAGGAACACAAACAAGCTGTATACAGTAATAACCACACGCAATTGGTACTCCAGTTTCCTCTGAAAAAAGGCAGTATCATTGGATGTATACAGCATTTACATAAAACTCGGTAAAGCTCTTTCAGCCCTTCACATAATAGTAATCCTTGCATTTGAATTAGCGCCTTATCACATCTTCGAGATGTCTTAAAGGCTTCACAGAATATACTGTAAAGTTAATTGACTGTATGTTTACATACTCGCTGGATGCTTCAAGTTACAGAAGAAGTTGGAGTGCCTGTGTGTGTGTGGTCACCATAATATGGCTGGCAGGAGTAAAATGGCAACAATTGATATGTCCCACATGCTCTGGCCAGGTTAGTAGAAAAATGGTGAAACTGGAAAAGTGTTTTCTGAAGTTGGGAATGAATGATCTTTTCTGGGGAGTTTGCGTTCATTATTCTGCATCTAACCAATGCCGTGCCTGCCTTTGGAAAGTTTCAAGTTGACAATGGATGCAACCATTGGGAAAATGTTCCACGTGCTGAAAATGATGTTCCTTATTTGAATGACAATGTTGGTTTTGCACAAATATATATATTTAAACTGCTGCAAGTATTCATAGATCTGGCCCCAGTTTTGTTCCAGTCTATGTCTTCTATTCCATCTGGCCAAACCACCTACAAACAGTAATATGAGAAGTAGGATTGAGCTCTAAGGTTTTCAGTTTCGGACGAATGCCAAATACTTCAGGTTTCAGATGATCCAGCGTTTGGCTTTCAAAGGCCACACCAATTGAGAAAACCCGAGGTTTGAATTAGGATTTGGCTTTGGACCACTGGAACTGCTTTGGAAGCCAAACACTGAAAGCAAAGCCACATTTCAGATGTTCATTCCTGGTGTGAGTACTGGTGTTGAAATAGTTTGTAGCACAGCAACATGTGCTGAATTATAGATGGGCGATACTACAAATGTGAGAAGATGCTTCCATTGTTTCCTGATGGTTGCAAAAGACCCATAGCTCACAGGTGTTGCCAACACAAGTGATAAATAAGTATTTCATGAGATTACAATGTTCTAAATGGCCTGTGAATAGAATTAGATATTGTCCTGATATATGTCTATTTTTTTTACTGCGCTTTCAGTCACCTTTCCCCTCCCCTCTCCTCTCGGCTCCCATCCCCAGCCCATCCATCACTGTGAAAGCACTTTGCAATGTCCACTGATGTGAAAGTCTCCATATAAATGCAAATTGCATTGTATTTTAAATACATCAGTTCTGACGAAGATCATTAACCTGAAATGTTAACTAATTTTCCTCTCTCCATGGATGCTGCCTGATCTGCTGCATGTTCCCAGCAACTTCTGTGTTTATAGTTGTATTTTAAATATTTATAATAAGTTTACATCCCAATAGCAAAAATAATCGTTGCATTTGATATAGCGCTGTATCACATCGTCAGCAGGTCTCCAAGCACTTCACAAGCAATACTGTGAAGTGAATTAACTGTGTATTTAATTTGAGCGATCTATTGGCCAGGATACTGGGAGAAACTCCCTTCTTTTTTCGAATAATGCCATGGGTTCTTTAATATCTTCCTGAACAGGCAGACAGGGCTTTGGTTTAACATCTTATACGAAGGACGGATCAAGCTGTGATCAAGTGACAGAGTCCCATAAGCAATTTGCCTTGAAAAGAGACCTCTCAGAGAGAACCTTATTGAAGTAATATGAGTCTGAGTTCAAAATTCCAGAATAAATCCAAACATAATATCTGCATCCCTTATTCTAGTCTGATCCCTACAATTAATATCAATGTCTCATACTCTTGGTGGTGATAAATTCTGGTTGTCTGTAAGAGTCCCAGAAAATGTTGATATCACAAAGCGTCCACTGAGGTCTTATGGTAGCAGCAAAATACCCATAAAATTGTGGTGTATGAACCATGGATGAGATTTTTATTTTTCAAGGTTTGACTTCAGAGACCCTGAACTTCATTTGGCCTGAATGTTTTTTTAATAAACAGTCCTCTGGAGATGGTGTAATTGTCCAGACATTGCCAGAACTTAGATAATTTCCTATCCCCTCGCTCCCTTTGACTGCCAGGCACACCAATGAACTAAGGAATAAGACATAACCCCCACAAGTAAGCAACAATGTGCGAATGAACCATGGTGCGAAGTGTCAACCTGGTATTTGCATTAAGAAATATCCTTTTGGAGCTTTGTCAGTCATTAATCAGCCAACTTATTTTGGCTAACAAAAGTATAAATGGATATTGTGCAAACTCCTTCAAGCTTTACGGGTTACGCTACAGTTGTGAGAAATCGGAATGTGTTCAAAGAGTTGGAGATGATCATTCTTCATCCGCTATTTATGATTTTGGAAATATTGAATGTATAGGGTAGTATGTTTCTGTTAAAATGTATATCTTCTGTTAATATGCATTTGGTTATAGTTTCCCCCCGGAGTAGTTGGGATGAAGTTCATGATAAGGTGGGTTTTGTGGAAAGAGTGGACCTGAAGGGCCAAATAGGCTCATTTGGTTTTGTTAAGGGTTCCTATGTTTTAAGATATCATAGCTATTCAGATAGTGGGTGCCTCAATCATTCATCTTTGGAGGCTTGATAAAAAGAATGTCATGAATAAAAATATCCGGGGGTAGGGGAGCGGAGAGTATATCCTCAGTAAACAGGTTGAGAAGAGCAATTTATCGAGATGCCAGGAAATATTATACAGAAAGTAATTAACGGGTGAAATGCGTCACCAGGAAACATGATAGAGGCCAGGACAGTGGACTCATTTAAGAAGCAGCTTGATGATGAAAGAGTTCAAATGGGTCGGAGGACCTTCTTTATCTATCTTGTGACATTTTGATTAACTACATTGGAATTTCAGTGTCATTATTGTACCGGAATTGTTATTAAAAATTTTCAGAAAAATCTTTGAATAGAAAAATAGTTTGAGGATTCAACTACTGCGTCACTCTAGTTAAAGCTCATAACATCCAGCATTACCAATTTAAGGCTGATAAATTTCTATGGATGTGTAGTTTTTCTTTTTTTTTCTCCAATTCCATTTAAATCTGTTTTCCTTTTAAAACAAATGATGCTCTTCTCGTAAAATATCCCTTGGGCTAGCTCACTGTAGGTGGTATGCATGGAATTCTCAATTTGGTTTGGATACTCTTAAGCATGTATCAGACACCCGGCTAACCAAAAAAAAGGACCTACCCATATGGTGGTGGAAGAATGAATGCCTGGCTTTCACTCTGCACCTTCTTCAAAAAAAAATTGGGGAATGACAATGGGGGAAATGCAGATGTAAAAACTGCGTCCCACCACTCCATAGCGCAGTGCATCATCAATGCACCACCACAAGGCTTGGTCATTCGGTAATCCCTACCCAAAGTCCAGCTTTCCAAGGGGTTAAACTACTCAATCTGTCAGCATTCCAATTATTTTTTGTTCCTTTCATTTTGAACAACAGCATTCCACAAGCAATGATGTACCAGAATATGCCACATATGCATGTGGAACGCCAATAGAAAGGAAATCACTCTATGGAGGACATAATTTGTAATAAACTTCAACAATGTTTTAAGATTCGGTGAAAGCTCTACAACAAAGTGAAACATCTGGCAGCACAACAATGCAGCATAAGGTGACAAGCAGTTGATTCACTGTCTCAACTAAGAAAGACTGGTCAGTTTTTTTTACACTCTTAAATCAAATAACATATATCTTATTGGACCTGTTGAGCTGTTCCCTTTCGTGGTATTTGTCCATCTGGTCCAAAGAGTTGGAATCTGGTCCCTGCACTTGCTTTCTGGGTGAGTCTGGGAAGCACATCTGACCATCCTTTGCTGTATATAGGTTACAGAACTCATCTGCTGTGAGTAAACCTGGAAAATAGACATTGAACAGATTACTGAAACGAATGCTTTCAAACTGAAAATAGCTGAAGTCACCCAAGTTCTCAAGCTGAACAGTAAACTTGCTGGTTTGTTTTGAAAGATAAGTAAATGGGTCTCAAAAAAAATCCTTATCATTATTAAGCCTCTTTGTATAATATGAAATAGTTTTCTTTCCCAAAGAATAACAATTTACATGGCTCTCCGGCAAAACTTCAACACACTGCTAGCAAGTTAAAAAGGGAGAACAGTGGCATATTAATCATCTCAGGTACAAATTCTGTAATTTTCTGTGAAAAATATTACTTTTTGACAAAGAAAAGATGCCCAATTAAAGTTCTTTAATGCAAGTTGGCAGATTTGTATCTTTGATAAAGGAATCAGTGCACACTCCATTTGCCTGCGCAAAGTGTTTTATTCCGTGCCACGTAAATATGACGCCAATCATTGATGTGAGATCCCCCAGTGCTTTTCCATCATCAAGCTGGAAATGAGCAATAAAATGATTTTACATGATGGTGACACACAAAGCAAATGCACCATATTCCTGCCCAACTGAATATGGAATAAAGCCTTTCCTTATTTTGTCTGAACTCTTGTTAAATAGGGAGAAGCTATTTCCATGGATAGGAAAGTCAGTGAAAGGAGGGCATGCTTATAATATATGTCACAATAAGAGCAAAAGGAGACTATAGGAGAAGCGTTTTCACACAGAGAATTGTTGGAATGTAAGGTGGTAGAGACAGAGTTCACTGTGGGTTTCAAGAAGGAAGTAGACAGATATATGAAGGAGAAAGGCTTGAAGAGGTATTGGGATAGGCAGACAGTGGGTTGAATAAACAGCTTGCTCTGAGAGCCAGACATGATGGACAGTATCACCTCCTTCTGTGGTGTAAATTACTATGAATATAAGATTATCATAGGCAACATGACTCTTGAAGGTTCATACATTACAGTAAGCTCTCCCATATGGGGGGTGCACAATGGGGAATGTGCACAAATTATTTCACTGGTAAGATTGTCAAGAGTGAAGCAAGCCTAGCATTAGACAGGTCCCCATTGTGTATCCAGCATATCCTCTAGGTCATAATTTAGACACACAAGCCGTTTATTTTCCGTGACCATGTTAACATTTCCCATCTGAAAGTGTGGGTGGGCAATCTGCTCTCAGACCTCTTCCTTTGTCTAAACTGCTGATGAACTGCCTGGCAGAAGGTGAAGAAGAGTGACCCAGGGCGACTCATTATTTATTGCCATTTTCCTTGAAGCAAAAGAAAAACTTTTCAAGCCACATGAAGAACCTTGGACACACACCCTAGTCTTACAAAGCAATTCAAAATTATATTTGCAAAGCGTTCTTTCACGTCGGGAGGACATCCCAAGTCGCTGAACAGTTAGGGATTAGGACCCGAGCACTGGGAGGTCGGGGGGGTTGGGGGTTCTGATCAGAGAGGGTGGGGGGCAGAGAGTGTAGGAGGTTGTCGAAGGCACGGTCGAAGAGGAGGGTCTTGAGTTGTGCCTTGAAGGAGGCAAGGGAGGGAACGAGGTGAAGGGAATGGAGTGTGGGAGAGGACAGAGTTCTGGATGATTTGCAGCTTGTGGAAGGAAGAGTTGGGAAGGCTGACAAGCAGGAGTTGGGATAGTCAAGCCTGGTTGTAATGAAGGCATATATGAGGGTTTCGGTGGCTTGAGGAGTGAGGCAGTGGCGTGTCAAGGCAATGTTGGGCGGTGAGGGAAGGCAGAGTGGGTCATGGCACAGATGTAAGGGAGGAAGGACAGTTGAGGGTCGAACAAGATGCCTAGGTTCCTGACTGACTCAGCGAGTGGAGTGTGCATCTATGGATGCTGATGCTGCCATTGCCTGAGGTGTGGAGGCGCTGGCACGAGCGAATCAGGAGAACCTCGGTCTTGCTGACGTTCAACTGTAGAAAGTTGGCTCTCATCTAGGACTTGATGTCTGACAGGCAGTCTGACAGGAAATTAGTGGTCCTGGAGTCGAGGTTGACACCCAACTCTAGAATTGGGTGTCATCCCTGTACATGTGAAAGTTGATCCCATGTCTGCGGATAATGTCACCAAGAGGGAGCATGTACAGGTTGAAGACGAGAGGAACAAGGACAGAGCCCTGAGGAACACCGCACGAGACGATGTGGGGGCTTGAGGACAAGCCATTTGTGGAGACAAAGTGGAGCCAGTGTGAGAGATAGGATATGAACCATTCAAGGACAGAACCTTGAAGGTTAAGGTGAAAAGAGTTGTGGTGGAGGAGGATCGAGTAGTCCACAGTGCGAAAGGCAGCAGAAAGGTCGAGGAGGGCGAAAAGACAGAGGGAGTCTTGGTCACAGATGGACAGAATGTAATTTGTCACTTTGACCAGGGCTGTTTCCGTGCTGTGGGATTGGAGGGCTTCGTAAAGGAGAGGAAGGAGTGAAGCTGGGAAGCAACAACTCTTTCAATGTAGTTAGTGATTGTGTTAGTCTTGCTACTGCCTGGGAATAGAGGGGCATATGTGAGGGTATTAGGAAGGAAGGGTGGGGGCTCCTGTAGAACAGAAACACTGGCATAGACTAGTTGGGCCAAATGTTTCCATTCCACATCACTCCATGTAACTCTGCCCATGACATAGTGCGGAAGCGATTGGGCTATCTTAACACTTCTCGCACAAGCCAGATTAAAGTCACTACATTTGACAGCAATTTCCTGTGAAGGCAATTGCTTTGAGCCTGTTCAGTGTTAGGGGTGCTATATCAAATGCAAGGATCATTCTCAAGGCGTTAAAAAAACGAAAGTAGTCAATCCACTCTCCAACGTCAAGAACAAGCTTTGGTGACATCAAAACATTTGTGTCTATTATATCACGAAGGGAATTATCTGTGTCATGTTACAGTCTCCAGGGCCGTGCAATCGGCCTATTTACACTGTGGCCTGTGGATTATTCCATAGCACGAGTGGTAAAAATCCAATAAGTGTGCAAGCCTGTGGGTGTGCAGGGGTTCGGAATCCACGAATGGCGAGTTGGAATTCTAGCTGCCAAAACGGGCCTGCTGTCTCTGTGGGAGATTGGCTGCAAAACCTGCATGGCTGGTTTGCATGGCTGGACCACAAAAGCCCAATGCCAGAAGCAAATTTTTATGTTTACCATCAGCAGCGCTGCTACCTGCAGAGGAGCCTGGAAAAACATCTATAGGGGTAGGTCTCAGTTCCTCCAGAGGCCATTCACTTGACCTTGGAGCAAGTCAGAGCCTCCTTTACTGTTATCACTGTAATGTAAAGGGGGTATTATATTAGGTTGGTAGAGGACAATATGAGAATTTTTTTTAGTGTTACCTTTTGCCTCGTTCTCTCAGAATTTTATTTTCAATCCTAGATCCCAACTCACTTCTCTTCCTTCTTTGGGGGAGGGAGGAAGGGATGGTGAGAGGCAGACAACCTGCTCTTAAGTCTCTGCCCATGGTCTCGGAAATCTATGAACAAAGCATCTTACTCTAACTCACCCTCCTCCAGATAGCCTAGCGTAGGCTGGAGATACATTAAATGGCTAATCAACATTGGGGAGTACAGGGTAAAACTATATCTTGCAGGATTTTTGGAAGAGTTGCATGACTGTACGAATGCTCTGTGGTATCAGGCCACCCACCGCTACAGCATTTTAATTACACTTTTATTAAAACCGAAGATTCAGATCGTGTTCATCAACTGCATGTTGTAAACAGCACTTAACTGTGATGTGGACCTGGCTGTAATATGTTTATGTGAATGTTATACTGTATTTTTCTTCAGTGATTTCAAAACAATTAGCAGAAAAGATAATAATGGAAAATTACCTAAAATATTTTGAACGTATGGGCACTTTTTATTGAACCAAATGTCCTCAGGGTAATGTGCTCTATAACTTTTAACCATATAAAAATATTTGCGCAATTATCCATATGATGGATATGAAGTCAACCATTTCCTTCCATATGTAAGATCATACAGATGTACCTATCTCTGATTCTGAGAGGTATTATTTTTCAGCTTACAAAAACCCTCATGATTTGGGGTGATTTTCTTCGGTGTCATTATCTCTCGTTCTTTATTCTCTATTTCTCTGGAAGCGTAATTGTAATTGGGGCCACTTTTAACACACGCAATTTCGGTGCTTGTCAATGACTGCTCTGTCAGCAAAAATTTGTTTTCTATCTTTGGTATCAAAACAACAGCTTTCAATTAGCACCGACCTCTGCAAAAGCAGGCGGTGCCACATGCTGATTATAAGCATCTGTCTAACATAGGAAAATCGTCTAGCTCTGCTGAAAAACAGGCTGCTAGTTCGCTTATGCACACCCCTGAGCCCCATCCGTGTCCCAGTGCTAAAGTTATGCTTTCATCTGGTTATCTTCCAAGACAACCTGGGTGGTCACCCAAAAGCACTTGACATCTTGATGCACTTCAGCAGTTTTACATATACACAAACTTTGTAGGAAAATAAATTTGTCATTCGTCACCACATATGTTGATCTGGGGAGAAAGGTTTCTGTGGCACCAGCTCCTGTGCTGCTCAAGACTCTCCAATTAACTCTTTTACTCAGTTCGACTGCGATTTTTAAAAGTTAAGTAGCAAGTCACACACACACACAAAAAAATGAGAGAAAGGTCACCCAGGTCAGGGATTAGTTAATTTTTTTGAGTGGGAAAAGTGTACAAAAATTCCCCAATGCTTTTATTGTTTGTGCATAATATCCAGCAAAATCTAATCTGTTATGACTGCTTAGCAAGCAGACTTGGCAAATGCAGCCCTCCCACCCCCCCCCCCCCCACCCCCCCCCCCCCCAACCCCTTTCAGTCTGCAGGGAATGTGATAAAGAGCAAAACCCAGCTGTAAAACAGGGAGCGTTTGGAAGGCTGGTTGCGGGAGGAGGGGGAGGAGGAGATATCAGTAGTTTGTGGATAAAATAATAATATTTTCGTTTACTACAAAACCTGTGAAACCACACCAAAGGAAATGAAGAATTCTCCTTAAGAAGAGGCCTCCCTTTTCTTAAAAAAAAAGCATGCACTGAATTTAAATGCAAGATATCATTAGAACTACAAGGCACCACCACAGGGTGAGACCGAGAGGGAAATACTGTGCATCTGGTGTCTTGAATTTATTGGAGCACCGAATGAAAAGGGCTTACTTCAGCCACTACAACGGCGACAGTACTGTATTATTAAAGCTGCTTCAGTTGTGAAAAGAGACACGGTGGGGTGGCAGCAGCCTTTTCTGAATGTTACTACCACTGTAAACAGGATGGCAGCAGCATCTGCCAGGAGGACTGAAGCAATGACTTTCCAGTCAGCATTCGTTTTACTTAATGGTACCAACGACCACCTCCTTTTCACAGCAATAAACACACCAGAGGATTGCAGCTCCAACTGTGGATACCCCCCACATTGCTTCATCTGGCATTAAAAAAAAGAACGAGAGATGAAGGTTTTATATAATTTCATGGGCTTCATTCAAACGTCCCGTCGTCTTTGTTACCTGCTATGTGGCCTCTGCAGGCAAAGTAGAGCTGTTTGCAATAATCTCTGCACAACAAGGGAAGAACGAGCTCACTGTCCAATGTTCCTTCCAGGTCAGGTAGATGAAATAAATTCTGAGCATGTGGCGAACACTGGGCGCAGTTGATTTCCTCCAGCAGCTTTGCACATTCTGTGTTGTTTGTAACAGAAAATATCTGGAAATCAAACAGCAGAAACAAGTAAGCAAAAGCAGAACAAAAACACACGCGTATATATATATATATATATACACATGTTACATGCTCAGAGCAAATCATCTGTTATACACAGTTTTGTTTTATCTTAAATTCTTTCTTTCTGAATCTGGAAATGCAGGTGAAGCAGCGCTTTTTAAATTCTAACATCAAAAACAATTTCTCTGTTTCTTTTTCAAGCAAAAATAGGGATATGAGACGAACACACATATTTTATATTAAGAAAACAGTAAGGAGTATTAAGTCAGAAATTCCAAATGTCTCAGCACATTCGAAAAGCTTTGCTCAGACCAAAACAATAAGTATGTTTTCCATTATGTTACAATTCTGCTCCCAAAACCCCCACTGTAGGAATTCTCAGTGGGAGTTCTGCTGATGCCCTCTTGGTCTCCAATTATAAAACTTTAAAAGAAATAATGCTCATAAAATACAACATTTAGCTCCATATGACTACAAATTTCCTCAAGTAACTCTCATCAGAAAAATATTTACTGCAGCAAAATTAAATTGCTGGGGAACTGTTGGCAGATTGCTTGCCTTTGTTTATAAATACACCAAAACTACCCCAAAAACATTTAATAACATTCTTTTCCTTCATGGCTGATGGATCTATTTTTCCAGCTTTGAAAAGTAGTTTTCACTGTCTCCCCCTACCTTACTGTACAGTAGAGTGACTGTAAAACATGAGATAGCACAGTTGAATTAAACCAAGTTGTTTGACATAATCTAGAACAGAATTGAATGCTTACGGGAAACACCGTAAGCCGAATGGCACTGGGTTGTCATAGGAAAAGGAATTGCCATCTTTACACACCACATATTTGGGGGCTTGTTTTCTGTTGGATGGTGTGTGAAATAATTCACTTTCTTACCGTGTAAATGCTTCAATTGTTCCGCACAGTTTGAAGCAGCATATTTTAGTCTGAACCTGTTTAAAATGCCATTTGGAAGAGCATCATCCACTATTACAATCACTACAGGGACCCAGACTGCACCTTGGAGATCGTTCTTTATAACACGATCCAAAATAAAATGCTGATTCTTGAAAACATCTAATGCATTTCTATCCTCGCAACAACTTGTTTGAGGATCAATTGTTCACCATAAATCAAAATCCAATCGCTCTGTGCGTCAGCGGCTGAAGTTGATTGTAAAACATTTTCAAAAAGACACTGCACTGATTTTTTTTCACCTAAGTGATTTATATAGTTTGAAAAGAAAAGAAATCGATCTAAATATTTCGTGCCAGCAGTCTGCTCAGCTAGCTATCCTATGCCAGAAGATATATGTACTGTAAAGGTATTTATAGAGACACATTTGCTAAGGATTCGAATCATTTACAATCACTTTCCCTATTTCAAAATGTAGCTGATCACCTAAAAAAACAACAAGCAAAAGATTAGGATTATATAAATGATCTGAAATGAAGTACAATATTTGCTCTTTATTTACTCAGTACTGTTGCTGCACAGTGGGACGTTAACATTTTGCTCTGTGTGAGGTCTGCAGGGTCCACATATCCATGTGGAGATAGATAGAGCCATCATTATAACACACCCCTGATGTTCTCTCCCACTGGAAACAATGGGCACAGGGCAATACAAGTATGCAATGACTTGGCTCCACGCATCTGTCGTAGAAAGAAGTACAGATAGATTATGTGAAGAAGCACAAAGAAACAAAGAGTGCATCTCAACACTCATCTAGAAATGAGTTAGGTTAAACTTTTGACGTTATTTTTCTTTGGGTGACCTGCCTGGCCTGTTAAACATATGTGCATTTATAATAATGATACAGTCAAACGAATTAAAAACATCAAGAGCTTTTTTTTTTAAACCGAAAAACACAACATTCAGCTTTTGGGTGCACAACACAAGTTTTAAACTGCACACCACTGATTTCAACCCATCCGATGAATGTTCTTCCTCCTCCCCACAAGACCACAATGCATGCGGGAAAATAACCTGTCAAACAACAACGTGTGTTTTTTTTTGTGTGAGGATAAAGAGAAATTTTGACAATTTTGAAGCTGCAAAACATTATCGTTTCAAATGAACTGTACCCACTTTTATTCCTTCCCAAGAAGCGTTTTGCATCAATCCACCCTCTTTCAATTGAGAGTTCAGACTGTATACTTTTCCATGAATACTGCCAAATGCGGCTCTGTGATCAGCAGATTTCTGTAGTGCCAACAAAGACACTCTCAACTTTTTCCTTCCCACTCAGTTTTTTTTTCTTTGCGCGGAATGAATAAAATACAGAAACTGCAGCAGGTGGATTCGACCACTCGAACCCACACCACCATCTGGTTTGGGAAATCGATGCTGCAATCACTAGGTTTCGAGCCACAAGAAAGATCAAACTGAAATTCGCCAACGATTTCAGCAAATGTTTAGTGAAGGGGTCTATCTTCGGGCATTACTCATTCCTCCACCATGGATTCTCTCATTCTCTCTTTGAACAACAGTGGGAGCATAACGACCACTGGTATTTATATAGCGACCTTCACCCGAGGCAGTGTCTCATAATGCTTAAACCACTACCACGAAAAGCAATGCTGCTCCAGAGCTTCCACTCACACTGTTTCATGTCACTTGTGAGCCAAAGGGGTTTTGGTGGGATGAGATGGGTGATGTCAGTTTTTTCTTTCCTCTTTTGGAGCTCGTAGCTCTTATCTGAGGGTTTACCAATCTCTGCCGAGCTGTGGATTAGGATGACAGGCAGCTGAGGCAGCTCAAAGCCACGACTATCTGGTTTGGAAATCAGTGCTGCAACCGAGTGCCACAGCGCTGCAATGAAAATTAAGCTTTTAAGTTGCATAAGTTCTTCATCAGAACTCATATTCTCATAAAGTCATTATCCGCTTCCATGAGATGCCATGTCTATTTCTGCCTTTGCAAGCAGTGAAAGCAAAGGATCTATTGATTCAGGCCACATCTTCTTGTGACGGCTGTACACCTGCTCCTATTATTCTCAATGGGGGTGGGGGTGGGGGAAGGGGGGAGTGGTGAAGTAGGTCTTCACAGGCATACTTGGAAAGGAATTGCCAGCAAACAAAATAAAACACTAGATCCAAATACAACAAACAAGCTTGCAACTAAGTCACCTGAAATGAACTTTAAACAATTATAAATTATGTGGGTGTCTGATTTAATATTTCACAGAATATTCCTCCTGGGCAAGGGAACGCTTGAGAGAAGACGTGCCCCCCCCCCCAGTGGAGTTTGGGGGTTATTTTGTGTTATTTCTGTGTAATTGCTGGGTGAAAAGAATACCATCCGAATGAAGCATTGCCACAGACCTTTCCTGCCTACAATAGAAGTGACCGAATCGTGGGCTAAATTGTATGATGAACTCCTTGCTTTTTGCTGGCTTTGTTTGTTCCAAGTTCAAACACGTGCTAGGAACTCTGAATTCTGTTGGGCTTCTCCATTTGCAGTCTACGTTTGAGGGAAGCAATCCTCCAAACCAGCCTTACTTTTCGTGATAGTAGTTTAAGTCTTCTGAGATGCTGGCCCGGGTGAAGGTCGCCGTATAAATACCAATCTTTGGCCGTGGCATGGCTAATTGCTCTGTAGTGGTTAGCTGAGATCTCTCTTGGTGCCAGACATTCTCTTATTGGGATGCTCAGGTGAGCCAATGAGTATCACTTCTCCCCCAGAAAGGTTCCTGCTGGTCAGTCCAGGTTAGTTGACATGCACTGACTAGCTTCGCCTGAAGCTTCTATCCCTGTTTCCGTTGCTTTCTCTCTTACGTTTACTCACCTGCTGCAATTTGTTTATTGTCTTGCAAGAAAGAATGAGTCAACTGCCTCATCTTGTCCATTCAGAGACAAACACAAACATTGTTAATTGAATTCATAGTCGTTGTAGGATGTGGAGCTTACAGGCTACTCTGTGGCAAAACTAACCTTGCCAAATTTAGTGTGTCATTCCTGTCCACAGCTCGGTGATAACACTACATTAAACAGAAAGCTGCTCGGTTAGCTATTTTGGCAAGAAATCGGTTAATGGTTTACATAGTACCAACTCTGTGTTGACGCTCAGATGAATCCTATCCCTAGGTTTTTTTTACGGTCAGGACCAATTAGATGTGTAGAGATTTCAGAGTTCATTGTTATGCAGTACAAAAGGTGGTTTGATGTGGAGCTCATTTCCATTTCAAGTGTAAAATAATAAGAAAAACATAATAATCCTTGCATTTGATAGAGCTCCTTATCATGTTGTTGAGACATCTCAAAGCACTTCACAGGATATTCTGTAAAGTGGGTCGACTGTATTTTGCAGGCGAAATGACACAGCCAGTTGCACACAGCAATATCCCATAAACAGCCATGGATTGGACGACCAATTTTATTTGAGGGATTTGTTAGCCAGGACATCGGGAGAAACTCCCCTCTCTTTTCAAACAGTGCCATGGGATCTTTATCGTCTTGAACAGCCAGACAGGTCCCAAGTTTAACATTTCATTCGAAGGACGGTACCTCAGGCAATGCAACACCCACCTCAGCACTGTATTGGCTTGTCATCTTAGACTATGTGATTCCAAGTCCTGACATGGAACTTGAACCCACAATCTTCTGACTCAGAAACGAGAATGCTACCACTGAGCCTGGCTAACGTGATGATGTTAGATTGACTATTCTAGATCACAGTTTATTTCTATTGATGTTAACAGATGAGGCAAAGTGTGCTGATATGAATCTTAGGTTAGCAGGATATTATTATTATTATTATTTTTAAAAAGGCAAGTTCCCTGATCAAATTTACCTCAGTAAACTCTGAATAATTCGTCACTCCAAGGCCAGCGACAAGTTATCCAGAGTGGCAAATTAATCAGAGGTCCTCCGGGGCCACAAGGAGGCGCTGTGAGCATGTACTATATGAACCAACACACTGCGCCTGTGCAGAGCAAGGAGCTATGAGTGTGATGGAGCATCCCCGTCCCACGTGACTGTTAGT